CTTGCGCTGCACCACCCACAGCTCCAACCACACACCCCATATCCAGTGCAAACTCGAAGGAATAAGACCGGGAGGCATGCGGATGGGAACCATGTTTCATCAACGGAGCCGGCCCACACTCCTTCACAGGCAAACACAAGCACACTGTATTTGGGAATCAAGCGCACACAGGGCGGTGGCTGGACCGTTGTCCGCTCCACACAAAGTGCATGGAACCACTCTTTGAGCCTAGCACGGCCACAGGGTCCCTGCATCCCATCCCCTCCAGCAACGATCACATGTCTCCTCTAGCCGTTATAGACGACGTACTTGGGTAATAGACAGGTAGGCACCTTGTCAACATGCACATCAAGCGCAGCCACATTGGGGATGTCAAACAACAGGCAATCACTCGAAATGTGAATAACAAATAATATCTATCAATTAACGCATACGAAAATGCCGATATACATCAACGCTAAAGGAGCATATGTAATAAATTGGTTTTCAACAAATCCACGATAAGTGCAAGATGTCAGAAGGTATATTTTTAAAAAAATGCCACAACGTGAAAATGTTAGCTAACCTAACCACAATTAGTTTAAGCAAGGTAAGCAAGTTCAGGTAACCGTTAGGATGAGGCAAAAAAGTATGCACTGAAATACGAAAGCAAACCCACCACCTGAAATAAAGTAACGCAAACCAACACGCGGTTAGTAAATTGAACGCAGCATACCTACAAACGCTGCGCCGGTTCTGCTTACGTTCTCTGCAAAACTCGTCGTTTCGGTGTTGGTCCTCAATGGCCTCGCCCATGGCTCACTAGGCCTGCCTGACTCAAGCACTCGCGACCCCATGTGCTACAGCACCATGCGCTCGATGCCGATAGACTAAAACTCATCGCCGCTTGTTGCTTCCTCAATTACTGCTTCTCTGCATGTACGAGTCACTCCTCTTGCACCTCAGCAACTGCCTTCGTGATCAGATCGCGCCATGCACGCTGATCAATAGCCTTCGATTCCCATGACTTGCAATCAACATTTCAACGTGTTAGGCTCACTCTGATCATTTCCTGATAACGAAACTTCGGTTTCTCTACATACCGCTTCCCTGCACTCAGTTATCCATACAGCAGCCGTTTCGATATCCGCGTCGAATCCATACGGTACACCTGACCGAGCCACCTCAAGTGTCTCATCAAAAGTATGCAGTCCACTGCATACATTCCACTTCGGCCCAACACCTCCGGTTCCGCAACTGTCGCGCCAACCAGTGCGCAGAATCCGTCGCAGACACCGTTGATGGAACCGCTCGAGATGGCGCACATCCCGCCGGTTCATCGTCCACGTTTCGCTGCCGTATGGAAGAACGGACAGCACCATGGATTTGTACACCATCAGCTTCGTGCCCACAGTAAGCTGATGGTTGTTCCGCACCCGGTATTCTAGCTTCCCGTATGCCGTCGCGGACTTCGAGACGCGGATACGCAGCTCACTGTGTGGCTGCTGATCAGTCCACATCACACTCCTTAGGTTGCAGAAGCGGGGGGTGGTATCCAATACTTCGTCACTGATTTGCGGCAGTATTGAAGATTGCACCTCCGATAAGGACTGGAAGAGACAGAGTTTTGTTTGTGTTGATGGTAGGCCCGAATTTTGCCGCTTTCGAAGCCAAAGCACTTGTCATATTCTGCAACTCATCCGCACCGTGTGCAAACAGCACACAGTCATCAGGTAACAGCAACAAATATAAAGTTGTCTCTCAGACTAGAGTTCTCGTACCGAAACGACGGATGTTCAACAACCCACCATCAATACGGTGCTCCACGCGAACACCGTAAGCTCAAACCGCATCAAAAGCGCAGGACATCATTGCATGAAGATATATACTAACTAGGGCAGGAATTAAGTCACAGCCTTGCTTCACACCAGAGACAATTGCAAATTCATCCGAGGTCTCTCCACTCAGCTGCACCCACGCCCGCATATCACTGTGCAGATATTCACTTAAACTTACAAGCCTACTCGGACAACCAACACGAACCACAATTCCTGGTGGTTCACCGTATCAGCTGTCTTGGTGAAATCAACAAAAGGCGAATAAAACGGCTAGTGTCGTTCTCTACACTTCTCCTGCAACTGACGAGCCGCAAACACTATATCCATAGTTCTGCGACCTGAACGGATTCCACATTGCTCTTCCGCGACGTTAGGTTCCATAACGTGACTAACGAGGCGGTTGAGCAGGATTCAGGCAATCACCTTGCCCACACAACTCATCAAGTTGATGACCCGATAATTCGTGCAACATTGCCTGTTCCCTTGTACAGTGGTAGCACAGAGGCATCTTTCAGCTCAGGAGGTACCTCTGCGATCCACACGCGTTGCACCAAGTGGTGCAGCGTAGTCACCAACTCAGGTCTGCCGTGTTTCAATACTTCAGGCGGGATCCTGTCGACACCTTCTCACTTGCCGTTTCGCAGCTGAGCAAGTGCTCTCTGCATCTCAGCCACTGTCGATGTGTCCGCCAAACTCACCTTCACATCGCTCTGCTTGGGGCTGTTCGAAGTAGGCTCGTCAATCTTTGAACGATCGATCAAGACACAGTCAAAGTGGTCTTGCCAGATCTGCATTATGTCTACAGTCTGTGTGCAGATAGCGATTGAACTACCATCGATTAGCGTCCCCAGCGGCTCCACTCTCGGTCCATACACCACCTTCAATGAGTCAAAGAATTCCTTGTGTTGGTGGCGTTCGGCGTAGCATTCCATCTGCTTCGCCTTCTCCGTCCACCATGCATTTTTAATGCGACGGAGCTCTCGGGTCATTCGCCGTCGAAGTTTGCGAAACGGACCACTCTTCGCCAAGTCACTGGGGTCTGCCACATGTGCAGCAGATTCTGCCTTCTTCACAGACACCAATGCGCCAATCGTCGCATTGTTCTCATCAAATCAATCAGGTGGCTTACAGTTTGCGCGCCCGATGGTCTCCTCGGCAGCAGCTGTCACCTGGTCGCGAGTGTGGTGCCCTAGGTCGCCCACTGTGGCTATGCATTCCACATCACACAGGTGTGCAACCATCGCCTTCTCCAGCTCAATACGTTTCTCCACAGTACCGAGGGAGAGAATGTTAGATTTCCGCCTATTCACGGCAGAAGTGCAGTACATAGATTTACGAAACTATATGTGCAGTTTGGTCCGCACCAATTTGTGATCAGTGCCACACTCAGTTCCACGCAGTACACGTGTCATGCACACTTCACGCATATCACGCTGACGTACGATGACATGGTCGAGCAGGTGAGCATGACCACTCCGTGGGTGCGTTTAAGTTGCAATATCACTCACACTCATTGTAAACCGAGTGTTCGCGATCGTCAGGCCGTGAGTGGCACACAATGAGATCAGCCTGTCACCGTTCGCATTCGCTGAACCAATGCCATACGGGCCGATGACATTTTTCCACACCGATGCATCACGCCCAACGCGCGCATTGAAATCACCCAGCAGAAATAGTCGGTTGCTCCTCGAAACAGACCGTATCACGGAGGATAGCTGAGTGTAGAATTGATCACGCGTGTCATCAGGATAACGCATGGTGGGACCGCACGTGTTTAACGTGTGTTTGGTGCTAAGTTATCTGCGGGGTAATGTCTGATTATGACGCGGGGCAATGAAAGCCGCAAAGAAGCCATTTCACCGATACCAACTTATCTTTGCACGATAGTCAGTTGTTTGTGATGGAAGTTTGTTGACAAGGTGTAGCTACCTTGACTCTAAGTGTTGGCTTAAGGTTTTCCGGTAGGACACCCTTCTCTCCTTCTTACTATTCTTCGTTCCGTAGGTCTTTATAGTTGTTTGGCAACGAGCCATCAGTTCAAATGGCTGATATGCTGCTGTTCATTATGGTGATGAGCACATAATCGTCATTTGCTTAGATTCCGACGTTGGCTATTTCCAGTTCATCACACTGATCTTGTGTTTGCTTGACTCAACAGTCATGTTCCAACCTTTCCTCATCGAAATAGATGGCACCCCCTATGAATGCTGACTCTTATATGCATTTCTGGCGTTCCAATCGCATCTCATTCTGATTGACTACACATTTAACTACCCCGGTTGACTTGAGTGGTCACGATTGACGGTAGGTTGCTGTTAGGTCACAGTAGCAACCTTCACCTGACTGTGCAGCACGAATTCTATCTCTTTCGTTTATCTTCATTCCTTTTGGAACCGGTGGAACATTAATCTCGCCTTGACGAGTGCAATTAACAGTGATGCTGTCCGTTCAAACTCACTGTACGGTTGTGAAATTCTACACATTAGATCGACCACCAGATCATTCACATTTATATCTAGTGGGAACACCGCTTGAGCATTAAGTGTGTTCGGCGCCTTGTTTGTGGCACGGCGAGGAAGTGGGACGTTCAGCATCCTTACTTCATGCCCCGCTTGCTGGGCCACACCAGTACACTTTCCCGCGATTTCCGTTGTTTGCATGACTGGCTTTAGATCAAAAGAGTTGTGAAGAGGCTAATCGATGACTCGGTCAAAAGGAATGAGGGCTGTTTATTTTAAACATGGCCTCGGTGTTTACTTCTAAAGTACCTGGTTGGGGTCCGAAAGACCATCCAGTTTTTCACGCAGGCAGTAACCGACTTCGGTGGTGCTTGTGTTGGGAATTTGTTTGTCGTTTGTTTGTCGCTTAGACTCCTCTATAACCACAATTTTACCGCCGGAACTTATTAACTTTCGGATCATCATCTTATTTGTTTCCTGTTCCTTTTTGTTACCATATATTTGCGTTGTCTTGCTGCACAATGTTCGAAGCGTTTCAGGCTTCTGGCTAACGTACAGAATTATGTTGCTTACTCCCAAATACACCTTGATAATTCCTTTCATTGCAGTGATGTTTGCATGAGTGTTTTTCTTACTGGAACGCTTTTCCTGGTGTTGGTACTTTGACTGAAGCACTCCCATTATCTGGCTTTCTCTTTCCTGAACCCTTTTGTTTGTGCGTTTAGGGAAAAGAAGTGGATCGCTGTAAAGGATACTTCCATGTTGGTTTTCAAATGGGTCCCATCACTTTCCAGTGATTCGGGCATTTCCAAGAAGAACACCTTCAGTCGACAAGCAGCAGCGCTGGCTCCCACCTGCCTGAACGTTAACAACGGACTCCTCTCTTCGTACAGCTGTTCTGTAAAGTCGATCACCGAGCCTTCATCATGCAGCGTTACCTCAGAGGAAAATTCTTCCAATACTTTCGGCTCCGTAGAACCCAACGACTTGATCTCCGAGAACAATACGATGAAAATGGGTAAGTTTAATACCTGCATGATCGTTTAACACCGCCCTGTCTTACTCCATAAACCATGGAGTCAGATCCCTGATGATGCCACCTTACATATTGGAACAGTGAACATTGACTCCTGTGATTTATTCATGGAGAAGTCGAAACCGGTAGAGGCTCAGGATCGAGGGATTTACGGTTGTTTGTCATGAGTTGAGGGTGATAGTACAGCTGTACTATGATCTGTCATGTGATGTGTAACGAGTTGATGTCTGTGATGAGGATTGCAAGCTTCGATAAGCTTTGCGCTAAAGCTGTTCACTAAGTTTTCCAGCTATGATAGACGGGACACCAATAGAGTTGCATCTCTTTTAGACCCTCAGTGGACCATTTAGTTGAACTTTTCCGTGTCGTAGAATAGTCATGTCAGACAGTAGGTGAGCACGGAGCATCACCGTCCTGTGGTGATCACACCGACGAAGGGAATAGGAACCTTACTTCCAAGAGGATTATCTTGCTGCGCTGACCGACATAGCTCGACTATTTCTCCCGCATTTTATTCGAACATCTATCACATAACACTATTTGTGTAAATAGGGTCGCGGCGCCCCACCTCGTCTGATTAGCAGTCTATCACTTACGTGTTATAAACAGTGTAGCTGCTTCGGCCACTAGTCGGAACGGACGAAACTACAGTAATCCACACATAGAGCAGTCAGCTGCATTCCGATCGATAAGGATTAATAGGCTTAGTCGCCAGACATTTATACACTTGATCCGGGGCGAAATGCGTAACCTCACACTACTGCACTGAGATCTAGCAGAGCAAGACTTGCGAACAGCAATCGTTCGTTGACTGACCAGGCCAAAGGCGAACATACCTTCCATATTTTTCTATTTATAAATTAATAGCATGGCAACATATCGAGTTATGTGTAGAAGAAGGTGAATGTTTGTATGGCACACGGGTTACCAAGTAATGTCACAAGGAAAACTCTATTGACGTCAGTGTACCCTGGGACGATAGCTACATCATTATCCTAAGAAGAGCTTAGATGGGTCAGTGTAGCTTGAGGCGGCAGTTACATCGACGTCCCGAGAGGAAGCTAAGCTGGATCCTGCACAATTTACGTTGGTACATAACGGCGGTTTCAATGAGAACAGCTTAGCGGTGACCTGCACAGTTTGCGTCGCTGTATGGTGACAATATTACTGAGGCGAGCTCTCAGCAAGTTTTGCTTAACTCTGCTAGCCCCGCAACGGGACCTTACATCTAACTCTCATTAACCCTGCGTTTTCTTGCTTGAAGGTTCAATGAAGGAGAGTAATATCTAACGACCTGCAGAGAGCTAGCTACGCATCTGCGTGCCGAAGGCGTCTGCCGCATTTGGCTGGTCAGCGATTATAGGTCAGAAAAACTCAAACTCCTGGTCCTCCATGTTGCGGGTTTGAAATGGGATGGCGTTCGTTTCTGTAAAGCTATAGCATTGCTACCTCCTCGCTGCCTGGCGTACAGGCTTTTGAGTCAAAGGCTTTGGTTGAGGATCCTAATCGTTTTCCTTTCTATGTCTGGGTGCCCTGCCTGTATCTCAGCCCACATACAACCAGGACAATTTCCCCAAACTTTAATTGCATCCTGCGTCGGCCGTCGCGCAAATTATCAAGGGTCGTCTTAGCTGCTACATACAGCATGGCGGATAAGCGAAAAATGCTACTGCATGCGTCTGCCTTCTTTTCTACCTGTTTCTCTTACTCCCATCTCGACACCCACTACTAATCTTTCTTCTATAATTCCCAGCTTAATTGACAGCAACCGAAGTGCCACTGGAGTAGAATCATCTGCAGCCACCTTCCCGCAGCACCCACTGGACGTCTATTGGCAACACTCCCTTATAAGGTCACGCTATCCCGTTTCCCTGGCGGCGTTTAACGTTCGCACTCTAAGACAAATAGGTCAACAGGCTACACTCACACGCACCTTGGACAGACTGGGTATTGACATGTGTTGTGTGTCAGAAATTATGATAAATGATCCTAATGGGTTTGTTGAAGTAACTGCGCTCGACTTGTTCTCGCTATTGGTTGCACGCATTCGGAGACACTGTTGCATGGCCCTCTGGTGAAGCTGGTGTAGCTATGGTATTCAGCTCCAAGGCTGAATCATCGTTGGTTGATTGTATTCTGGTGAACAGCCGTTTGTGTGCAGCTCGTTTGACGACATCAGCTAAGGTTTATTCATGATGTAGTACAGAACGCTGTTTGTTTGTTATTCCCGCTTATACTCTCACTGACTGTAGTTCACATGCTGCCAAAGACTCATTCTATCACGAACTGAACGTGCTACTACGCAGTGCAACTAGTTCAGCTATTATAGTACTTGCAGTGGACATGAACGCACAAGTAGGGTGTATGAGTTCTTCTGAAGCTCAGCTGGGTAGTAGTTATGGGCTTAACTCCGAACGGACTGACAACGGCGAGCGTCTGCTGCAACTGTGTGCGGAGCACCAGTTGTTTCTTATTAGCACTGATTTTAGACACAGTGGGCGCCGAAGTGCCACTTGGCATCCTCCTGTAGCTGGCCAGCGATGGACTAATAAGTTACAGAAGGCGTGGTTCTATCTTGGATTGCCGCTCGAACTGGAACAACTGCGTCGACTCTGATCATGCCTTGGTACGCTATCGTTTCCTCATGAACTGTACCGAGAGGCGCACTAATCGTCTTTCCAGATTGGTAACTGAAAAATTGTTTCAGCCCTCGATCAGGCAAGCCTATCAAGACGCACTGCATACCGAAATTTTGCTCCCTTGTCCTAATGACACTGAGTTTCATTGGAATAGGATCTCGGCCGCTATGCACGATGCAGGAGCATCTGCTTGTGACACTATCAATCGTCCCCGCACCAGTCACTGGATATTCGAGAGGTCTGTGAACCTGTTGGAATCTAGAAGAAACCTCCCGACTGGCTCTGCGCACAATGTGACGAAACAGACTATGAGGCGCGAACTAAAGCAGAGCCTGTGCGCTGACAAGGAAGCATGTTGGACTAGTTGGACTCAATAAATGAAGGAGGCAGGAGCAGTAGGCAATTCCCGCAAACTCTTCCAGCTGATCGGCACCGCTGCTTCCAGGAAACCATGCGTCAGTGAGACAATCAGAGACAGCGTAAGTGCACTGATACACACTAAGGAGCGCCGGTTGGCTGGTTGGTGGGATCGCTTTTAAGATCATTTGAATTGGCCACCTGCTTCCGGACCTCTTCCTACTCAAGTGATGCAGGACGAGCCATGGACCGTTAGTTTAGAGGCTCCATCGGAGGCTGAGGTCCGATACGCAATAACAGACTTCAATCGTTTTCGTGCTGTAGGCCCGAATTCCCTATCACCTGCACTATTTAAACATGGTTGTGAGGTCCTCTGCAAAGCATTGAACTTATTCGAACATATCTGGAATGTAGAATGTCCTGGCCAACTGGAGTGAGTCGGTTATTGTGGCAATGTACAAGGAGGGTAGTCGCACCGCCTGTGCTAACCACAAAGGTATTAGCCCTACGCCCAGTTGTGACAAACTTATTGGCCTCGATTCTGGTTCTTCGCCTCATTGGGGAACAGGAATCTCGGATTGGGGAAGATCAGGCATGTTTCCGCCAAGTAGCTGGCTGTAGGGACCATATATTCCCTCTGCGGCAGTTGCTAATCCATGTACTGTGTTGCTTTTAACACTTGCCCAATAAATATTTGGCAGAGTACCACAACATATGAGTAACAATAACAAAAAAGAGAGTGAGTAGGAGGAATGGAAGCAAAGTTCTATGTGTTGTGTGGGCATTAAGCTTCCCGATTGCCCAGGCCGAGGAAGAGGTTTGACTTAACGGACCCCACCCCGATCCTTTGGTCTTAAGACCTGACCCGCGAGGCAGCGGGATGATTAACGGAGACCGTTGACATCCGGGTAGCTCATTCGCCTTCTTTGTGTTCGGAAGCAGTCCACAGAGAAGCCGGCGACTAGCGAGGTTATTCATTCGCCGTCCGTTAGATACTCACTCCCAGTTACAGGAGTGGGTTTTCAGTGACCCTATAGCCGGTCACATTGGCTTTGACACAACTTCGTACGGGCAGTTGGGGTATTTTGTGGAGAACCAGATGACAAGCCCAGAATTCCCCACTATCTGAGACGCTGCCGCTTATTGGCCGCGACTGCTTATTCATCTCGCCTGCAAGGCTAAGGAGATTTGTTCGCAGTTACCTTCACAAAGAAGGCATTCCCCGATCCGCAGCCTGGGGACGCGTCCGATAGACTACAGCTCCTCCACGGGGGGTGTTAATCCATCGCCACGCTTACCGCAGTCCGACAATAACTGTGTGCTTTCTACTTCACGAGTACGTTCATTCCATTTGATTGATGCATTTTTTTCGAAATACTTGCGCGGAAATATGCGAACATCTCACATACTCTATTCTCGATCACTACATGCCGCGTCAGGGCCTAGGGTGACCTATCCGATAGCTTTTTTGCAACATGTGGCGTTTGTCTGAGTGGTCCGATTTCGTTTTTGACTCCATCAGGCAGTGTTCCTTTGCGGAATCTCCCGATGTAGGCGTTGAGGTCCTGCCTGGTGAAAGGTTAGTTGATCTTGATTAATTGGACGGTATCGTCTTGCTTTTCGACGATGTTGCGGCGGCACAATCAACTCTGAATAGCCTCTCTAGAGTGATCACATTATTTGGTATGCGCTTCGCATATTCAAAGTGCAAAGTGTTGCTGCAAGACCACTAGACACTTGATGACCCGTTGACCCTTGATAGCAAAGAACTCGAGGTGGTTGATCAATTCACTTACCTTGGCAGATGCATCAGCAACAATGTGCACTTAGAAACTGAAGTCAGTTCACGCGTTTCGAAAGCCAGAATTGCCTTCTTGAACCTATCATTGACGACAGAATGGAGTTTCCCTCCGCCTGAATGGCCGTGTTTACAAGGTCACAGTGAGGGCCGTCCTGCTGTATGTGACTGATACTTGACCCCTTCCGTCTGCTGATCTGATGCGCCTTCAAGTTTTATCATCGTTGTCTGCGCAGCATTGCTGGTGTCGACTGACATCAACGTGTTCGCAACCCTGATGCGCGTAATCGGGTATTAGGCATTGATAACGTAGCTAGTTCCCTAGAGCAACAGATAGCATTAACTAACTTGCAGTGGCTTGGGCACCTGCTACGTATGCCTGGTCACCGCTTAACTAGGAGGGCCTTGTTTAGTCTGCCAGGTGTAGGGTGGCGCAAGGCTTGAGGCGGACAGAAGTTGACGGCAGCGAGGATTGAAGTCTCCAACAACCAAACTGGCTGGCGTTGGTCCGTCTTGCTTTTCGGGCTGGGATCCATGTGACCCGCCTTGTGCTTGGCTGGAGACTACAGGACATGGCTCGCAACCGACACCAGTGGCGCGTCTGGTGTCCTCTCCTAATCGGGTTGTCTGTTTAAAGTGTGTTTGGTGCTGAGTTATCTGTGGGGTAATGGCTGATTATGACGTGTGTCAGTGAAAGCCGCAAGGAAGCTGTCTCACCGATGCAGCCTTATCTTGGCACGATAGCCAGCTGTTTATGACGGTATGTTGTCTACACAAGGTGTAAGCGCCTTGATCCTGCGTGTTGACTTAGGGAATTAAGCTTTACAGGTAATTCCCCTTTCTCTCTCCGTTATTAATCTTTATTCCATAGGTCGTTATGGTTGTATGACAGCGAAACCAGTTAAAATGGTTGGTATACTGCTGTTGTTGTTTACTATGATGGTACTACTAATAATGATACCTTTTTTGATTCGCCGTCGTCATCCATTGATTATTGACTTAGTTTACTGACATTTGTTCAACTTTGGATTCTGATGTGGTTGAATTTTTTCGTTTTTCCAGAGTCCACCACATCACTGGATGTGGCACCGCAGGAGAAGGTTAACTCGACCGACAGTCAAGAGACGACGAACACCGATCTTTTGATACTCAAACCAGACCCCTCAGATGATACCGATCGGTCGAGCGAGGTCACGATGGAGAGCACCTCAGAAGTGCGATCACTGGACCCCGCCGCCGCCTCTCCATCAGAGCAATCCACTGCTTAGACCGAAATTTATTCTTGCTGTCTTGTACTTTAACTCAAGTTTCCTGTGGATCACAACTGCGAGAACAGTGTGTTGTACGCGCAACACATTTCGCTTGCATTTTGTGCTCAAATTTTTTGTGCTGCGCGACAATGCATAGAGTCCTGTTTTTTGCAGTACTCTTGTCGCATAATACTCTGCTCTATTATGTCAGCGTTCTGCGATATCACCCCTACAGATGGTTGTCTAAAGGTACTTACACTTACCTTCATTTTCCTCTTCAACTTAGATTTCTTCTCATTCTTTTTTCTCCTCTTGTAATCATTTTGTATGTGAACGTCTTCACATTTTTCTACACAACTGTCCGCACGCTGGCTTCATACGATGTGGCTGTTTAACGGAATTTTGACGTCAAGCTCAAGTGTAATGTCTCGTACAACAAAACCCATCATCTGAATTCGCAGCTTTTTTCCCCTCAGCCCTGTCAGTAGATTCCTGGTTACCGTAGAACAATGGATTTGTTTAGCGGTCGTTCGCAAAACTATGTTTACAATTGGGATGGATCATTCTGTCTGTAACACATTATCATCAACAGACATTTGATCTGATGTGTCACCACCGTACAACCCTGGCGTAAAACCCTTATTCCCTAAGCAAACATTCCGAGCCAGTGCATCTACATTTTTTAACAACATTCCGTCAAAAACAGCTGGATATCATGCTAGGATGAGGCGATATCACTCCCAACCTGGAGGACCATGCGACTGAGTTCGTCTGACCTCTAACCACTGATCAACCTAGCAGGAGTAGCTCTCAAGGGGCACTGGGGCATCACGCAGTATAGCTCAATGGATCAAATAAAATACGCAAACCGCCGCATTACGTTAGGGTTCAGTCTCTTTTCGACGGTAGATCTCGATTATGCGCACGATATTATCATGCTGTTTAACGATGTTAGGGCGGCTTACTTTGTGTTGCATGTACAATGGATGGGTTATAATGTTAATCCTCATACAATGGTGAATAATGAGCAGACAGTGGTTTGCCTACATCACAGCTTGGTCAGTGCTCGCGTCTCACTCATCGTCCGGCTCATTTTTGCGGACAAAAAACCAGCTTTTTTGTATCACTCCCCTTCTTTTCTACCCAATCGTCTTTATTTCGAGAGCTTGGTAGAGGACGCTGGTCCGCCTTTGGGATTTTTCCTCAACGTCCAGATTTGTTCACTTATCCCCTACCCCAGTGGACCATATGTGCTGTGTCAACAAACATTATCGAACGTTTAGCTAATTTTACTAAGCTATCCAAGCAAAATAATCATAGAAATCAGGTGTTGCCCGCCCGAAAACAGGACACAACCACGACGAGTTTCGATATCATTTTATCGAAATGCGTCGTAGTTGTGCAGTGTTTTCGGACAGGCAACACCTAACTCCCATCTGATTCGGCTATGGTCCCAGTGATCGCAGTGACCAAGGTTCACTTCAATATGAATCGCGGTCCACATTGAGATTACGTGTCGCAATCCAACCACACAACGTGGCGGAGCTGTAGGCTATCGGGTACGTCCAAAGGTTGCGAATCGGGGAATGCCTTCCTTGTGGAGGTAACTGCGAGTAAATCTCCTTAGCCTTACAGGCGAGATGAATAAGCAGTCGCGGACAGTAAGCGGCAGCGTCTCACAGTGTGGGGAGTTCTGGGCTGGTCACCTTGTTCTCCATCAAATACCACAAGAGCTCGTACGGCGCTGATTCACAGCCAGTGTGACCGGCTATAAGTTCACTGACCACTCACTTCTGTAACTGGGAGTGAACAATGAACAATGATTTATCACGGGATAAAAGCAGGTGCTTGACACGTCCCGTAGGATGGTTGAGGTGAATATGATGAAATCAAAATATGTCTGGGTCATCTATCGAACGTCTGCCGAGATGAATAGTTTGATAAGTAACATCAGTGTAAAATTGAAATAAGTTATCGAGCGTAAACTTTAAGAAAGACACTGGGGTGCAGTGATCATTGAGGTAAAGAGTGAGAAAAGTAAAATATGGTCGCTCACTTAGGTCCATTTGATACATAAATGAGTACCTAACGGAGGGCGGATGAACAACCTTGTTGGCCACCGCCTTCTCTGTGGACTGATAATGAACACAAAGAAGGCAAATGAGCTACCCGGATGTCAACAGTCTCCGTTAATCGTCCCGCTGCCTTACGGGTCAGTTCTTTATGACTAAAGGATCGGGGTGGGGTCCCTTAAGTCAATCCTTTTCCTTCGTCTGGACAACCGGAAAGATCTCTGCCCGCACAACACATTAAACTTGTATACCTTCCAAACCCTTCTACTTTTTACCTGTTTTTCCCCTTTGTTGTTGTTAACTATGCGTTGTGACACTGCCAATTGTATATTGGTCAGGTGTTGAATAATAAAATAATAAATACACAACGTGTAGTCCAAAATGCCCCTCCAAGGTAACGATATCATTTTTCTTAGTCTGTTTGGCTCCATTTCGATTATGTGAAGGAAGCGTAAGGGCCGCGGATCCCCTTCCGAGAGCCTGTACTTGATCGGCTCCGTTTGTTGACCAGATAATGACGGACCAGTGGAACTACAAGCTTCCGTTTACGCGGAGGTCTTACAACCCACATGAAGCAAACAACTGTGGAATGAAAGGTAAAGTAAGGTAGTTTAATGAAGGGCGTTCGATCTGAGTTCTACAGACTTGTCGAACCCTTGTCCGTGATTCTACTCGCGTGTGGCAAGCTGTCAACCTGGGCCACATTTTGATGTAACGGTGAAGTACTGTATCGGTCCTAGTTGCCCAATTTGCTACTACGCCCCCTGCTTTTACCTACACGAAATAGTCGTCGTGTCAGTTAATGTGCTGAAGGACTATTAGGGCAGTTTAAGCTGCTGGCTAGTGGGCATCTGTCTCTAGCGGTCATGGGTTCGATCCCCAGCAGAGGACCAAAGAAATGCGCAGCACTGACGAGCCCCAATAGGGCGAAACGGACTAGGCTGTGTTATGTAGCTTGGGAACTACTGGGATGAATAACTTAAAAACTAACCCAAAGTGTAAGGCCTGTGTAGACGGTGATATATCATCCTGTCCGTGAATGGTAGGGTGTACAACGCTGCGGTAAGGTCGGTCTTCCTGTATGGATCAGAGACGTGATCAGTTTGCATTGAAGACACTAAACGCTTGGCCGTGTTTGACTAACGGTGCTTGCAGAGTATTGCACTCATCTAATGGGAACACCGGATGATTAATGTTGTGGTCCACTAGTTGGTTTTTACCATGAAACTTGATGCCTCCTTCGGGTGTTTACTAACACTCAATCGCTTAGTTTGTTTAGGTCATGTCTCCAGTTGACCTGCCTCCTCGGCGTTCATTATACCTCATGGTTGCACCAAGTTGGGCGAAACCAGGAGGTGCCCAGTCCATGACGTGACATGGAGTCATGAGGAATCCCAAAGAGGAAAATGCGCGGAGAACTTTCGACAAACAATTGCTTTCGGTTAGTTCCTCATCAGGTCGTTACAATAACAGACGCTAAGTTGACAAAGGTTAGGTTACTGTACTGCAGAACACTTGATTAAACGATTCAGTGGTTTACCGACATTGGTCAGGTGACTATGTGACGGGTGTCATATGAGTGCTGAGATGTGCTCCGCCTTTCGTAAGTGGCTGGCCAAGGCAACTGTAGTGATTGAACCATCTTTTGGATGCTTAAGTTTGGATTCATCAGTCTTATGCATACCGCCTCTGCAGCAGCAAGCAGACGAATTCTTATTCTGTGGTTCGGGTGTGATGGTACTTTGTACACCATGTCAAAAGCGGTTTGTTTGTCAACCTGGTGTCCGGTGTCCACCAGATGGTTTGTTATTTAACTGCAGCTGGTTGGTGGATCAATTCGGGATATGTTTTTTTGATTCTCTTACCTAAGTGTGGTCGTTCGTCCAATGTACCTAAACCTACAGGGACAGGTAAACTGATAAATTAACTTTGACTGGAGACGATCAGACACTTGGTCTTTGAATCTCGGGACAAATAAGTGTTGGTTCGGATAAATCACATTTAGATTGGTTGCGTTATTAGTCTTTCTGCAGCTTTGTATCAACCTGCGTTTACAGATCTCTGCTGCGTTGTCGCCCTTGAAGGAAAGAGTCGAAAACAGTTGTTTCTTTTTGACCGTTTTCGTCTTTGGTTTAATACTGTTATGCTGCATATGAGTTTCATTGGAGCGTTCAGGATATCTGTTCTCGAGAAGCACACATTTGATCCGCCGCAGTTCGTCCTCATTAGTGTCCTCGCTACAGATCTTATATGCGCAATTTGTTAGGGTGTGTACTAGCGTTCTTTTTGCGGCTGAGTGGAATAAAGCTGTGCAAATTCGTGTATTGACCGGTCCAGTGTAGTTTCCTGTACACATGTTTGTTTTAAGAATATTCTAACGGATCAACTCGTTTGTGGGTATTCCAGAGTGTCGTCAACATTTACTGAGGGTTCATTCCTTGCTGGTCAATGTAATTCCACAGATAATTCACCGTTTCTTACAGAGGCACGTTGGTAAATAGCGAGACAACATCAAGGGCGAACATCTGATAGTCCCGGATATTCATTTTCCGGACTGCTTCATGTCCCTTAGGCAATACGAGGCTATCATCCGCCTAATAGGTACTGATGTTTTTGTCCGCCATCTTGCACTGCTATGGTATGGCGGACTCCTCATGTCTAGGTGGAGGTCGGATTATACAAAAACATTTGAAAACACCCCACCGTCACACACTTGAGGGGGGGATGTGGGAGAGCGTTTCTCTCCCCCGTCACACCATCTACAAAACGAGAGTCTTTGCTTCACAACTTAGATCAGGGGTGTGGTGCCACGTGGCTTTTCTGTGGTTTTCACCGAAAGTTCTCCAATCTTTTCGGATGTAAATGGGGTTAAACAAGATCTCACAAATTTGTTTAAGTAAAAGAAATCATAAAAAGAAGTGCTCGCCACCGGGGGCTTAAGGCACACTGGGAGTCTGGGAACGGTGTGGAAGATCGGGGTAAAAACGAGGGGCGAGACGAAACAATCGCCTCTTCCGAGCTCGGTTCCATTTTCAATTACGGATTGGGCGCGTGGAGAAAGATCTCATTGCTCTGAGACTCCTCAACGACGGCACAAGTCGGGCTTCATCTGCCTCAGCTATGAATCTTAAGATCTAAGAGTCGATATCGCTTTGGGGGATCTCATAATGGTTTACCAGATTCTGAAGAACCCAAACCACATTTGTCGTCCGCTGCTGGAATTGAACCACAACACTAAAATAAGAGGTCACCCTCTGAAACTGACAACTCAGTATAGCCGGCTTGAATGCCGTAGAAATTTCTTTTCTCTCCGCGTGTGTGAGCCTTGGAATGCCCTCCTTAATTATGTCGTCTCTGCTCCCAATCTGGCGATATTTAAAAAACGTGTTGACGATGCATTGTCTCATTTACATTTCATTTTATGACTTGTTAGCTAGGGGCTACAAAAAGCAATCAAACGATGTCTTGCCAAACGCC